CGATCTTATCCGATTGAGAATCGGCGTGAATCGTGGCACTCAACCACTCTTCACCTCGGAGCACGCACACAGCATCGCTCCCCCGTGACCGCAGTCACCCAAGGACATAAAGTCCGCAGGCTTCGTCAACTAATGACTCCAGCCTCGCGAGCCTGGCTCGCATATGCACCGTCTAGGCGCCAAGTTTTGTGCACACGCACGAGGTTCTCCCACCGTCTCCAGAACCTGCCTACTGGCTCCGTACACTCTGTTATATAGGCGAGGCCCACGTGACCTCCTACGTCACGCCACCCCCTCGCTTGTTATAACAGTGAAAAGCGTCTATAAGCCGGAAGACACCCAAAGCCTTGTGTCTCCCGTCTCCGCGTTCTTCCCTTTACGGAAAAACCCTACTTCCTGTGGCGAGACTAATCCGCAACCAAGCGTCCCCAAATAGATGCCACGAGGCACGCTGGCTAATACGTTACAAATGTCTGCAATACCGGGGGTATTCTCTACCTGTGTTGTATTGCTCCATAATATTATGTAAAATGGTTTTCTGAATAAATTTCATGAATACTATAAACTAACACGTTTGTTTTTATAATTGCCAACCGATTCTTCCCAACCCCAATATTGTTATTATTAAATAGGCGCAAAATTAGTTGAATACGTGATATTACGGAGGTTAATATCTACACTAATGTCCAAAATAGAGGATTGAGTACCGTGCCGTGCTCCTGAGGCTGCTGCTTCAGAGCTCCAGAAGTACCCACTCTGGCCACAGAGTGCAGTGTTATCGATTTAACTCCTGTACCTTATTGTAGATGGTGCTACAAGTTTCCCGTCCTATTCTATATTCATGCATACGCTGTGAATTAGACATTGACATAGCGATCGATGTATACCACCTCCTAAGATTGATGTGTCACAGTGAATGATTGGCCAGTGGGGAGAAGCGGTAATAAAAATTGGATTGAAAAAGCGATCAACTTTTTGACATACACCGCCATGATTGGGCCAATTTGTAGTCTATACATAGACTATTGGTTTTAATTACACAAGTGGAATAGTCTTTTATAATTATGTATATTTTTTAAAGTAAAACAACTCTTTTTTACGGATGCTGTTGGAGCAGATTTCGTGCATACTATTAATTTAGCTAAACGGAAAATGTCCTTAAATAAGCTGTCAAAGAATTATTCTTTCAAAAATTTTACCAATTTTAATGCAGATTTGCCTTAAGATGTTGCAATTTTACTAAAAACAATCATTTAATTTTTAAATTCCACTTATTCAAAAATGCTGTACCCAAATTAGCAAACAAATGCTCAGAAAGATTTGTTTCACATTTTCTTCACAGTGCACGATAACCAAAAAACACTAATATACATAGTAAAAGCACTCATTGAGGACGCACACAAACACCGATTCACACATAACTTCATTTACGTCATAATGACGCATTTCACCATGTATGGCGGGGAATAGCCGAGATTCTATGAAAACATCCATGACTAGAATGCTTGCAAACGATTGCGAAGAAACCGGCCGGATGTCACCGCGAGTCGTGGCGAACTCTCAATTCAATGCACGGCGAATCCTTTACATGCTTCTCATTGTTTCATGGCTATTTCTCAGTTGTTGTTTACTATTACCATTAACAAATATGTAGATTTTTCATTATATTGAATTCTTCTTTAAAATATTGAAAAAGCATTATTTTCATAATTTTGTTTTCCCATCGGCTTATCTATCGATGACAGAACGCCTCGCCACTGGACTCTTATGATACATCAAATATTGTTAACCCATCTATTTTGATCCAAGTTTATCCGACTGCACATTATAATATCACATTACACAACATGCAACAAGGGAAGAGATTTCACAGAACACCGAAATATAAGGAGAAAACTCGTGCGTGTAACGCATTATACTTGAAGCTCACGCTTTCCGCTTGTCCGGATTGGTCACTCGTTTCAATGTGACCAATGAGATATTTCTAGTCCACCATTGTGCCTCAAATAGTGACGTCAAGCCTGTTGTGACGTCATGGATACTCACAGCGAACACAGACATAGGGCTTTCATATAACAAATATTTATAAAGAAAACACAACAAATATTTACAATGAATTTCCTTCTTACGCCCTAGCTCTGATTGACCTACTATCCCCTGATCGCGGGAGCAATCCAAACCCGATTGATGATCGGTTTCGATTGTGGCATTTGCCACTCCTACTTCTGAAGCGCGCACAAAGCAAGCTTCCGTGACCGGATGTCACACTGGGACACAAAGTCCGTACTGGCGTACCAACTGATGCTTTGCCTCGATCGCAGGAGCGATCTTAACCGATTGAGAATCGGCGTGAATCGTGGCACTCAATCACTCCTCACCTCGTAGCACGCACACAGCATCGCTCCCCCGTGACCGCAGTCACCTAAGAACACAAAGTCCTCCACAGGCTCGTCAATACGTGACTTGCCTCGCGAGCCCGGCCCGCCGATGCACCGTCGTGGCGCCAAGTTTTGTACAAATGCACGAGGTTCTCCCACTGTCTCCAGAACCCATCCACAAGCAGTACATTTGTGCAGTTTTGTGAACGCACGAAGAAGTGCAATGTGCGTTCACGCCACCGCGGTGGGACCATTCCTACCCCTACGGGCATCTATGGCCAATCCTGTAACATAAAGAAAAACAAAAGGTCAAAAAAAATGACTTAAGCATACCGGCGCGCGCATTGCGTGTTTTGTTATACTAAGTTTATGCCTCAGTCCCACTTCTCTGTTTCAGATTGCTCTTGCTTCAGAAAGTGCTTCGGTCACCTATACTTCGCCCTTTGATCGGGTTGGTATGAGGCAATCGCGGAAATGAGATCATTTTCCGAGTCAGCTGCTTTCTAAAAAAATTTTTAACTATAGTTTTTATATGATTTTTTAGCAGTGGCATTGATACTTCGCCATGTAACGTTTCTATAAGAGTATATCTAGGGGCGCAGAGGGCGGCCTTGAGACACTCGTTTTAAACTACTTGCAGTTTGTTTAATAGATAATTTGCGGCGATTGCCCAACTCGGGCATGCGTAGTCTATTTGCGGCCTAATTATTGCTTTATAAAGCGAGAGGCAGTTTGCCGTTGACAGTTTGCTCCGCTTGTGAAACAAGCTTCGCAATCTGCCTCGGATCTGCCGCGCTTTCTGTCGCACATTTTCTATGCGCAGATTGAACCCACCCACTGGCTCTGTGCACTCCCTTATATAGTCGAGGCTCACGTGACCTACTACGTCACGCCGCCCCCGCCGCGCTCTATTGCTAGGCATGAGGGTTTGGGCTCCGTTCCTTAAGACCGGAGGGCCCCAAAGCCTCGTGTCTCCCGTTTCCGCGTTCTTGCTTTAAGGAAAAACCCTTCTCTCCTTCATGTGGCGAGGAGTTTCCTCTTAATCCCTTACCAAGCGTCCCCAAATAGATGCCACGAGGCACACTGGCTAATACATTACACAGTCTTGGTTGATGGTCGGGAATATATATCGTCCACGTGAAATTACGGCTTCCAGTAAGGAAATTTCTTGCCCATATTGACCCATACCGTGATACTCAATGGCGCGCTTCGTCAATAAGCAGGCGAGACTCATACATAAATACGCGAGAATTCCTGATTGAGTGGGGGGAAAGTCACACTCTCCAGGAATGTGCGCCTTCCTGGATTTTAATGGTGATTTCCACATGTAGTCCTCGTAACACTTTCGAAAAAAAAGTCTGTATCACTGGATTTTTTCTTCATTAACATCACAGCTAAAAGCGAGAGATGTTGAGCGGAAATATAACCTACATTTATTGATCAGGACCAGAATGATTAATTTGTATCTAGCATATCGCATCCTGTGAAATAGAAGGAGAATGCCTGACAAAAAATGTATGTGTACAAATTGAAACAGGAAAAAAAACTGGTCAATACTTGCCTCCTCACCATTTCAAGTTTTAAATATAGAATGTACTACTATTGTTAAATTTGATGTAGTTGCAAACCTAATTGATATGTATTGTTCCGTTATTATTATTAATGTAATTATTATTATTATTATTATTATTATTATTATTATAAATAGTAACATTAAAATAACATCTTGAAATAATATTTATTTGCAGATAATTTATCTACTGTATAATATCTTAATCTAACTGTAACAAGTATTGCATTTCTAGGCCACTGACCCCATCTCGATCAGGTTTTGTTCAGTTTCCCTGGTCCTTTGAGCAAATGCTGAGATGGCCCCTTGTTTGCTCCTGAACAGTAATGTAACTTCACTCTCTCCACCCAAGGCATCATATTGTCTCGTCATACACGATTGTAATTGTATATGTGACTCAATAAATATTATTATTATTATTATTATTATTATTATTATTATTATTATTATTATTATTATTGTATCAGGAAATTTTTTTTGACTCGTTTTATTTGACTCGTACCTATATTGGTATTGTATAAATTGTTGATGTGTAGACACTTTATATTGCAATGTATAACATTTGAAGCAGTTTGACAATGTGTAACATTAAACTAAATTAATTTTATAAATATTACTCTACTTTATATAAGGTGTTTTCATTTGTGGTCCTTGACAAATGTATCCAGAATACATAGACAACAGCGCAAAGGACTTTAATTTGCTTGTTTATTTTTTTATGTGGATTTGAAAATAGGGCTTTTCGAGAAAAGCGATTTTTTTCCCGAGAAGTTTTGATTTTGTACTCTCACTTCTTCGTCCCATTATTAATATGATTGGTTAAATTCAATTACTAAAAATCAGGTAATGTACGCACGAGTCGATTTTGTTTGGAAGACTCCTTTCAGTAATTCGAATTTGGCTCCATACGTCGTAAGTATTCCTTACATTGTATCAATTGACCTTCTAATCTGCTATCTCTTCGTATTAGTTTACTTTTTGTATTTAGGATGTAATGCAAAATATGAATTAAACGATTTCAAAATAATTTTATTAGTTTTTTATGCTGTCAGTAAGCTTTTCGACAGATGTTGTGGTATACATGTTGTTGACCTTCGAAACACGAGCAGCATATGACACAACGCCAGTAGTACACCGCGTTGATCAAAAGAAGGCAAGTATTGTAATGCGTAACGGAAGCTATCGTCTTTATCAAAATGTGTATGTGGTTAAATTCATGGAAGAACGCACTAAGGATGAATGAAACTCCTTTAAAAATGTCACATTAATTTACAAAACGAATATAATAAGTGTTTACAGAAGCTGTAAGTTTCCCCAAACACCAGATATTATTGTCATGAACGTTCTGTGTGTTATATACGAGATATCATCAACTAATCCTAATTATTTTTTTGTTTGTGAAAATTTATGTGTCCAAAAAATATTAATCAGAAATCATTAATAATTTTTACTAAAACAGAGGTTATTCTCATCTTACCCAGGGGTCTTATAAACAGAACCAAAAGCTATACTTTACACCTGTTAATTTAAAAGTACTGTTCAGACAATGCAAATGTTTTTTTAACTTAACTAAAAATGTATGCACCTTTTAATTAAGAATGACAATGTAACAAACTGGAATAATGCTTATTTCATTTCATACACTGCCAAGTCTTTTTATGTTGTAATCAAAATTCATAAATTATAATACTTTTGATGCTTTGATGGTTTTTTGTGCCTACTGGGTCATTCTGTCTTATCACAATATGTATTGTGCATTTTACCTAATCATTCTTTTGATACTTTTTTTATAAATGTATTGATTCATGGGTTGTATAAGCTGTTTTTGCAAACATTCATTGAAAGTTCACTTGCATTTTAGTGCTATTCTAAGTTTTCATTTACATGTAGAATTACACAAATTATTACTATTGAAATTGATGCTCACTACTTTTGATGTGATCTTGAAAGTATAATACAAGTATTAAGTGTTATTAAAAGTGAAGAGAAATGAGAACCCAACTCTTTTAAACATGTTAAAATCATACTCCATTCAGGTTAAATGCTAGTAGTCACTAGAAACAATATTAATAACAATACATTCCTCCATTTTTTTTAACTGCCTAGGCTAATTTCATTATAGAATTTATCTTTCATTTATCATTATTTGCAAATTTAAATTCCTTACATATGTTGTTTTTTCTTTTGGCTTGGGTCATTGAAAATAATTATTACTTAAAAATACACAGTCATCTAATGCTTTGCATATCAGTAATATAATTGTCCTTACTTAGGGTGAAAAAATAATCCCTTTAACATTAATCTTCTTTGTTGAAGGAATTATTATGAAGAAGATATCATTTTCTTTCTCAAAATCAAAGCCTGTTGCTGCCAAACCTAAAAATGAAATTAAGAAAGATATCCAATTTATAGATTGCATTGAGAGCAATGCTATAAAAATCAAAGGGTAATCTGATCATGTTTAATATGAATGAAATTTTTAATGTTATGTTAAAATTGTTACTGAAAAACATTTATTGAATATGACACTTCCAGTGGCTTGCCACCTGAAAAGGAAGAAGAATTAATTATACCTGTTAAAGCTGATACATTACCTAAAAAGGAGGAAGTAAAACTGACTGATGGTGAGGTGGCCAACTCAGAAGAGCCTCTGCTGGTGACAGCTTCAAATTCATCAGAAACATTGGAAGATATTGCAGTTAGAGAAATTTTAGAAGGTGAGTTTTAATTTTTCTACCATAGTTACTAATTTTCACTAGTTGTTTTCTTTTTATTGGGGGTTCTTTTTCCAGTGTTTGCATGCATTAAAGGAATGAAGGATTCAAATTTTCAAAGCAATTAAACATTATTAATTTGTGCCATCAAACACTTGACGTTTTTGAGATTTCTTTTGAATTCTTAATTTTTTTTGTGGAAGCTTGAAGACTGTATAGTTAATTCATATGTGTATGAAAAGAGCTATTCTTTTGAATACAACTGACAATTTTTTCATGCCTAAATATTTTTTTAAATAAAAAAATCATAACAAAATTTAGATTTGTAGGTATTGATACTCCAATTGACATCAACTACATACCAATATGCCTACAATGTTTCCTGCATCAATCAAAATTTCAAACATATTCATAACATCTCTTATAAGAGCACCTTAAATACTATTTTTGTGGAATTGATGTGCCAGGTTGTCCCAATACACACCAAAATGTTGTAAATTGAAGTTTATTTTTGATGCATTCTCCATATTAAAATGTATATTTATTTTCTTTGCTTTTTCTTTAATTTTTTATTGTTTTGTGTCAAAGATCATGCTTGTTCTTATCCATATATCTTTTTTATCTTTCAAGATTCGCGCAAAGTTAAAGAAAAAAATTCTTTGACTTCTACAATGGTGCTACCAGCAGGTGCTGAAGGCAAAGTTGCTGCTGCAGAGGAAGTAAGTGATCTCAACATATTGTATCAAAAGATGTATAAATATCTGCAAGGAATTAAATCACTTATTATTATACTTTCGATTTTTAGGCAAATGACTATTTTACTCTTTTGATGTGAACCTCAAAATTAATTATGAACACATTTCTATTATTTATAAATGCCTGTTTGTCCTAGAAAAGTTTTAAAAGGCCTGTTATGTGTAAACTGTGTGCAATGAACTCAAAAATTGTTCCTGGACAGAAATTCAGACCAAAGTTGAAATCTATTTGAAATAAAAGTTATGTATTACTCTAATTGTGCAAAGTTCTTCGGTGGCGTGCAAAGTTTTTCAACCAGTTTCAGTGTATACAACTGCCGGAACGGATTGTTTCCCAAGGCCTTTTTATACAGAATCCGGTAATTTGCTTCCAGCTAAATTGATGATGTAAAATACTTGGACAGTCCAGTGACTGGATAAAGATTTGACAATGAGAGCTTGTGCCTTTTGATTGAGAATATCAACTCCGAATTTTAAAGAGTTATAAAATAATAATGTCTTCGGCTTTGTTTTACATGTTTCTTCAGCGTCAGAACTAGAGTGCAGGGAACTCAAAATAAGCACATATTTTTCCTTTTTACATTTATATCATGTCAAGGTATTGTTTTGTTCATTTGTGAACAGAACTAAATAATTGCAAGTTATTTTTTTTATGTAATCTGGTTCCTGTCTTCTATTAGAATGCAATGTTCCCATAATGCTATTTTTTTGTTTCCGAGCTAGTTTTGTTGCAGAGATGCCAAAGTGAAAAAATTATCACTTGTTATATTGTATCCTCAGCCAAGATATGGTGATTTAAGTTGCATCAGAACACTTTCTGTGATACTGTGGTCTTTTGGGCACAATTCACCCTTTCCGGAATATACAAATCCATTACGTAGATATTTCCAACCATACCAACTTCAGCAAACATTCAAAATTTAATGCCAAATTTGCCGGGTTTATCGGCCATCTATAGAATAAATCAGTAAGAAAATGAGATTCTGCGTTTGTATATAGCACTTTTGAGAATTGTGAAAGATCACATTCCAAATTTCAGACATCAAAGCAAGTTTGTTGTTTTGTAGTCTGAGTTGGTATTTCTAATGCCAGAGTTAATAGAGTTTCTTTGGAAACAGGCGATCCATACTTTTCAGACATTCATGTGGAGTGTCAAATTTTTCCTACCCATGCTTCCTTCAAAAAAGTTAGACGCTTTAATATTCTGGCAAACATGAAGTTATCACGTTTTATGATTATTTGAAGGAAAACCGTCAGTACAATAAATATAAATATTAATTTATTATTACTGAAAAAAATAAAATTGTATTTACATAATACTAAACCAAATAATGTACACAAAGGTGTGCAAATCTTACATGCTACATAATTTTACAGCTATATTAATATTCAGGCAACACTGGAATAGTGATAAATTAACATTAAACTGCAACTTAATACTATGTAGTTTGCCCCTTTTGTTTTAACACTTAACTTAATCTTCTTGGCATTGAAGTTACTAATTTTTGGGTATAATTTCTTCCAATTTTCCACCTATTTTCTGGTAATCTTTCTTCTAATTCCTTTTTTTGACAGAATTTTGTGTTTGGTAATTTTAATTTCTGTATCGTGCCAAAGATTTTCAATAGAGTTTAAGTTTGGTGGCCTATCTATCATCTCCAGACAATTGTAGAGAAGCAAATCCCTCACGTTGTGGGCCATATGATTATGGTCTTTGGCGTGATAAAATTTAAAACAATTTCTAATCGCCAATTTCTATGGCGTTTCTGTGCAAATTGTTCTTGAGTATATTCAGATACCGCATTTAGTCGATAGTACAATGAATAAAAGCTATTTGTGCCACTCCACCAGCGGCTTTGCAGCCCCAAATCATCATATGCCCACCTCAATGTTTTACTGTGGGAATTTTTCGCAATCATTCGCGTACCATCTGACCCGAACACCTCAGATTAATTCTCATCCACAAATACAACTCTTCTACCAATCCACACCATGGAGGTTATTTTATGGTTTCATGTAGAATATATAAAAACCGGCGCGCCCTACATCCTGGCGCACTGCAGCCTGAAGCAGACCAAGATGTTGGTCGAAACATCGGTACCTTAGCCTTCTACCCGGCGTACGCGGACAGCCCAGATCATGATGCAGTATTTGAGACGTAAATATTACATCAAAAACACTCGAAAGCTGCCCATCTTTTACCGTATTTTTAGTGTAAGTTGCCGGTCTTGAAGCTGCTTTGAACGAGCCTCCCTTCCTTCTGCTTGATTTATAGAGAATTGTATTTGAGTCCATTTTGAACCATCTTAGAACGTGTACTGGAGCAACGCAATCTTGAATCTTTTTCTAGAGAGCGTTGACTGGAGGATGTGGAAATTGACAACACAGTTTCATCCTCATTGGAGGGAATAGTATCTTCTTCGTCTTCGTCAATCAACCATCTCCTGACACGTAACGAACTTCGTTCTTGAGGAATGTCTTCTTTCGTACCTCTCCATTCACGAGCCGTGGTGAAAATTCACTCCCAACTGAAAATTAAACTAGTCGTCAAAACTCCATTAAACGTAAAATGAATGCCACTGTCCACCTTCCGCACCAATTGAATGATGGAAGAAAACTAGGTCGATCGGAAGTTGGCGTTGGTACGGTTTCTTTGGTTCCTTGACGTCATCGTTGTTTCATTGTTGGTGTTCGTTTTCGAATGGTTCATACTTTTTAAGTATTGTTTTTAAATATCATTTTAAGTATTTGTGGCGTGGAATTGCGAGTTCTTTTTAATACTTTCAAGTCTTGTTCAATTGGATTTTGGGAGTATACCGAGTTGGTTGTAGTGAATATTGGAGTTATTTATGAATAGCGACGAATGGGAAGTTTGAATGCGATTAAATGATGTGTCAAAACTAGTGAACGAAATTTTTCTTGTGGAAAGAACCGTGCCACCGCCAACTTCCGATTTACCAAACTTAGACTATATGCCTACTTCGTTTTAAACGGCGGGGAAAGTTCGGGGAAGCGTTTACTGAAATCTGACACTTCCTCTTTCTCTGTGTTTACATTTTCCACTAATCGATCGAACCGTCAACAATAACAGAGAGCGACACTTTCCGAAGAAATTTAGTAGTTAGGAAAATTGGAGCAGTCATTTTCACTACTACCCATTGTTGAAGGAAAACCATGAAGATTAGCAATTATCTCGAAAACTAAGACGTCTAAATAATTATATTTCGGCATTTTATAGAACATCCTCGAATATTTAAAGTCACGAAATGTCATAAAAATAAATCAATAAAAAACGCACAGAAGAAAAGTAAAACTTCACAATAGTCAAAATGACTGCTCCCATTGTTCCAGTGTTAAAATATGCTCCAGTCACAAATGCTGAAAAGATTGTTTTTGCATGTAAAAATATAAGTTAAACTGTCATTGAGTGTTTTAGCATTTACATTTCTGTCCCTTTTAATAATTTTTGCACATGTTTGTAATAAAACGGTTTGAAATAAAATAAAATGTATGTGTATAAAAAAGCGATTGTGCATGCATATTTCCACCTTATTTAGAAAATATTTGTGGCATTGAAATAAATAATGGGTCAAGCTCCAAAAAATGAAGGTGAAAAGTTATATATATGCCAACCCCTATGCAGTATAAAATGGGCCAAGTGACAGAACATTTGGAAATAATTGAAAAATAATTCCACAAAATAGGGCAAAGGGTACCTCACAGTGCTGTTACATAATTAATTGGTCAACCTAATACTACAAAGACATGCAGGAGATGTTGTGTTTTCTTAAATTTAAACACTGGGAGTCTCTGTTGATTCTCTAAAGAAGAGACGAAAGAAAGAGAAAGGAAGGAACTTGGAAGTCGAGGTGATGCATATCTTGAAGCAACCACAGAATGAGCTATTATATGCAGTTCCAATACTACACCCATGTATTTAAATTGGTATCATTTCCAGTGCTGTGTTACATTTTCAACTTTCTTTCATTTGTAGGTTCATTGCAAAATCATTGGATAGGCCAAAATAAAAACAAAATGTTAATATTTTTATCTAATGGTTAAGAGTAATTTCAAAGGAATTAACCAGAAAGTTTTGGTTAAAGGGCAGACTTGTATGTCATGTAATAGAAACTGCTCAAATAGAAAAGAGAAAGCGTGTGGAAAAAAGTCAGGTCCTAAAATATTTGGTCTATTTCTACATGCATATTCAGTTAATATAGGGGTGAGAAAGATTTTTTCAACTTCAAAGAATATGCTAATATGTTCATTGATAGAATCACAGATGTGCAGCTGATTTGGGCTCTTAGTGCTTCTCCTGGTGAATCAAAGTCAAACTTTCAGTCATAAAGATCGCCAAACCATCATTAAAGTACTGAGGAAGGGCATGCTGTGTAAGCATGTTGTAAAATTTCAACTTTTAAAAGGAAAGCATGCTCACAGAGGCCAAAAAAAAGTATCTGAACTCAATGATACTATTTCAAGCAATGAAAATAAGCTGTTAAATGAGAATTTTGTGAAATGAATACCCAAAATATCAAAGATTTAAAAAAAGTAGAATAATTATTAGTTTTCTATTGGGTTTCATGGATTTGTGAACGACATTTCTGTTTGAATATCATCCATTTTATTTGTGTATGTAGCACATTATTTATGTAACAAACCAATGACTTCCATAGTTTTTGATTTTTCATGTTCACCTTTTTTTTCCACATACCTACTTGTACCTTTAGAACAAAAAATCTTTAATGTAATCAGTAAAGATATATTTCAACTGTTTGTGTTTTTTTCTTCGTGCATGTTTTGTAAAAGTTTCCACCTTTAAAAAGAAATCCTCTATTACCTGAAAATTAAGATTTTGGTGCTTGACTCGTTATTTGTTTCAATGCTACATTTGTTGTGCCTTAGGTGATTTTTGTCACTTGAACTTGTCCTATTAAAGCAATACAGGAAACAATAAAAAAAAAAAACTTAAATTGTTTTATTATATTAATATTCGAAGTACATAATGTTTAAATGCGATAAAGATTACTTAGAGCATAACTGATATTTTTTTTAAATCATTATTATTGGTTACACAGTATTTAACACAAAGCTCTGCTTTTAAATTGCACATCAGTCTGTTTCTTCATCTGTGGTACGTCATGTCATCAGTTCTTTACAGGATACCTGTCACTGTGGGTGTATTTCAAAATTATAGTTTCACAAAACTACACCAACTACAAGAGTGGAGTTAAGGAAGACCAAAGGGTAGAGAAAATTTTTTGTTGAAGTAGAGTTGATATAAAACTAGTACTTTCTTGAGTCTTTGAGGTAAGGCTACTTCTTCTCCATCCAGTATTAATACTCTGCCTGTTGCATCTCCTCTCCATCTGGTCTCCTCATTAATTCTTTGGGCCAAGAGGATTCCTTTATTTTGGGGGTGATACTAGAGTATTCTCTTGAGCAGATGTTTGTCCTGGGTCCTTCCAATGTGTTGAATCTAGGAATTTTTGTAGTCATTCATTTACCCTTGAAGACTGCAAATACCAAATTATTCACAGGTTTTTGTATTCCTTTTCCTGTCCATAAGCCTATAACCAGCTACTGATCTCAGAAATCATATTTCTGCATTTTCTAGTCTTGGTAAAGTATATTTCTTGGTAAATTTCACTTCCATATACGCATGTTAGGATTCTTGATGAGTAATTGAATCATTGTCTGCTTTCTGACCTTTTTTATCCCAGGAAGTTAAAACTTGGAATTTGTTCTGAAAGTGAATTGAATATAATTTATTTAGATTTAATTGGATCCATCCCTTTGAAGGATTTGCATGGGTTATGCATTTCAGTTACCTTCTGTAAACAGTGCTTTCTCTAGACGTATTTTCATCATTTGCAATTATAACTTTGTTATCCATGAATATTGGCTATTGAACTACTTAGCTCCTGAACAATGTATGCATCATTTTGTAGTATGTTGAGCATCTAGGCAAGTTATTTCTTTTCCAGAAAGCACATCCCCCCCCCTCAAGATTCAAAATTTGCCAAGCTTGCCACATGTGTAGTTCTAAATATAATACTAAAATATGCCTACTTCGAGAGTTGTTGCATTCTAGTAATAAACATTTTTTCCTTCCACCTTTTAGAAGTAATTACTGGAGACACCATGTTTGAGCACCTAACGTGTTTAACGTCCATGAAGTCAAAACATACAAAAACTCCATTTTTGAGGTATTATCCCCTGCCAGTAATAGGCAATTCATTTTTTTACAGCCTGTTTCAGTTGGTTTATTACAGTACTCTTGGTAGATTATTAGTCTTCCAATTGTTCCTGCTGTTGCCACCTCTTTATTGGTGTGACTCTATCTCTGATCCCTATTGGTTTGTACTTCCAGATTAATTTTGGAAATCTGTTGTTCATTCTCAGTAAATGATTTTTCATATCTTTTGAGACAGTTCTATATCTTCTACTAAACATTTGGTTCTCAATTTCTTTCTGTCTTTATTTCTCAGTCTGTCTCTTCTTGTGATTCCCATGAGGTGTCTTAAAAATGTCATGTGTGCCTCCTATAGTTTTTGTTTGTCTTTCTCTTTCATTACCCATCATTTTAGAGCCATACATGATTCTAAGTTAAGCAGCTATATTCCAGCAGTGGAGTTTATTTTGTTTCCGGGTCCATGTCTCTGCCTAAGTGTCTCTTAATTATTCCATATATTCTATTGTAGTTATTAAGTTTGTTTTCTATGTCTTCCTGAGTTTGGTTGTATACACTTAAGATATTTCCAAGGTTTGAAATTATGTTATACTGAATTGCCAAACAATTTGATTACAATTTTTATTATTGTAGCTAAATTGTGTATTATATTTTTGAATGTACATATTTTAAAAACATAGCAAAGAAATGTTTACTTCTATGTGGTTTACTTCATTGTTGCACTGTGCACATGAACATTGGTGCACTGTTCACCTATGCACTTTCAAGCCCTTATGTTTTACTTCAGATTTGCTAGCCCATCAGTTTTAATTTCCCTTATGTATCCGATCGGATTAATAGATTATCAACCCTAGTTCATACACTGTATCACAAAATGTTTTTCCTGCATTCTTATGTTTGAAAATTAGATGAAATAATTTTTTAAAATGTCATTTGGTACCATATGTTGTTGCTGGATTTTGAAATATTATTTTTCATGTATATTTCTGTTACTTAATTGTCTTTGTCACTTTAAATAAATGTAATGCTGTACATAAAATAGGTTAATAATGCTTGAAAATTATGTATTTCAGTCAACACTAGCAGATTATGAAAATATACCTGTTACTGATTTTGGACTTGCAATGCTAAGAGGAATGGGATGGAAACCTGACAAAGGAATTGGAAAGAATGAAAAGTAAGTCTTATTTTAGGTGTTGATTCAGTCAATTGGGTATCCTAGAAGATTTCTTAATATATCTTTAGGTTGAACACTCTATATGTGCGGTCTTAAGTCCTAGAACAGTGTTTGCAGAAAGGTAGTCAGATCTTTTCAGAATATACAGAGCCAGCAGGAGGGGGTGGGAGATACTACTAATAAAATATTTGATTACTTAATTTAATTGTAATATTCCAGCATTACAAAAATGGCCTTTGGATACATTGATTAGTTTAAAAGTATTTGTAAGCTTAGGTTTGTGTATGTTCTGATTTAATAGGCAGGATTGCCAAAAAGGGCAAAGCAAACTTCAATTAACATTAGAACTAATTTACTTACAAATTTCATAATTTCATCGGTTACATGTTCAATATTTCCCTTTTTAATTTAGAGAATCGGTACTCTAAAAAGCAAACAATTCACCTAAACAGTGCATTCAGGCAACCCAAGTTTCAAGTAAGCTTTTGCATTAGTCAAATTACTTTCAGATGTTTTAAAGAATTGTTTTAGCTTCCATCCTCTGAATTTGAATTTGTTTATTGTTAGAAGGGATGTTTTTGTTTGTACTGGTAATATTTTCTTTATTTGATTGAACATTAGTTGCTTGCTCGACAACAAAGTTTGAAATCGTAAAAGATCTTTCACCCCCTCTACTTACGGTTCTATTTGTATATTCATTAATATGTAAGTGAATTCTCTTGGGTTGGAAATAAGGGGGAAATTGATACATTTCCTTTAAAATTTCGTAATGTCAGAGCATAGAATTTTCTAATTGTGACCATATTGCATCTATGTATTTATATGTATACTACAATAATGCATTAAAATATAACACAAATATTTGCAACTTGAATTAGTGTTTTATAAAACAAAATGACATTAGTCATTGAAATGTAATTGACAAACTATGTTAGCTGTTGATTGAGGATTAATAATATCCCTGCTGTTGTGCTCATTTTCTGGATACAATATGGATATATAATTTGCAGGATAGTGGAACCTACTTATCCTTCTTTACGACCAAAGGGAATGGGTTTAGGGGCAGAAAAGAGGAAGATTCCTGTTTCCTCATCAGATGAATCCGAGGATTTAACATTGAAAAAAGGTGCTTTTGTTCAAGTACTTGCAGGATGCAATAAAAATACTTATGGCGAGGTCAGTGCTGAAGTCAATTATTTAATTGTTTTTATTTGCATTAATGTATTTCTTGCTTGTTACAGAAATTATTGAGGTTTAGAGCAAATGTATCTGCATCTTTGTGTAATGAGGAATTGTAGGAAGTTTATCTTTGGAACTATTTAATTTCTAGCAAGAACAATTTTATTAAAATCTTTTCAAAAGTGCTACATCCATTATCCTATTAAACAGATATAAGTTTGTGCTACTGTTGGGTGGTTGCAAAAAATTGAAAAAACAACAACCACCAATTGGTGTAAAAATAAAATTCAGGAAGTTTCAGTGTGATCAAATAATGTTAAGATTGCCTCATCAGCCCTAAAGTTTCAAAAAAATCAAAGAAAAAGCAAGAAAATGATAACAGTTTCCTCTAGGAACATGTTTTTTAGTTTTGTAGATAATGATTCTGTTTTCAATTTTCTTTCTCACAACTTGTTTGATAAACATAGAAATCAGAATGTATATGGGATTATTGTGGATCATATCATTATGAGCCATATGGGATTTTCTTGGGGAAAATTATATTGTCTGTTCAGCATGTTAATAAAGTAAGTTGTTGGAATCAAAATTAAAGCTAGACCCAATCTCTACGAAACTTAAAAAATAACATGTTCTTAGGACATTTATATTAATTGTAGTTTGATTGTAATAAATAATTGATTTCTATATTAATATTTTATTCCCCGATCTATCTATTCAATTCTTTCCATTCACCTGGCTACAATTTTACAACTTTATAATTAAAAAGCTTCATACTTGAACTATTTGATGCTAAATAACTAAAAAAGAAAAAATATATTTTTAAAATACGAAGTAACATGGATTTCCTCATCCGGTTAATGAAAATGCTACGTATCTTTCAGTCTGTATGATTGTCAAACAAGTTGTGAGGATAAACAAGGTGACTGATTTCTGGAATACAGGGAAATCGAAATGCTGAAACTGTACAGAGAAAATGTAGGGAAATAGCAGGTCCCATTAAAAACCATGGATTCAACTCAAACCTCAGAAGGAAAAAATGTACCTACATTGACGTGTTGCAGTGACTGGTACTAAGATGAAGAGACAATTATTTGAAATGATTTGTGTAGTTATCAGCAAAATGAAATACTGATTTTTTTTGTAAGCAACAGTTATGAGGAGGCGGTAATGAATAATTGGTTATTTTCCATAAATTGCCTGTGATTGGATGTTTTGTCTGAATTCTTGAATGTTATTGGTTTAAATTCCATGAGAGACTAGTAACAAGTAGTAAGGGATATTTTTTCCAGAATTTTTTAACATAAAAGAGATGGTAGAAACTTCATTCATTACCACATTTCTATTTCAATTCTAACATCCCTTTATATTCCAGTCAGCTGATGCTCAAAAGGGGAAGAAAAGAATTCTGGAAATTTTTTTCTCACTGGTTGTACATGTTTGTTGGAGAGACTGAATTTGAATTTGAATTTGAAATTTTCCACCTCGAAATATGTTGGCTTCATAGGAAAAAAATTGAAGAAGAAAAAAATCAAAAAATTATGTCCTGTTTCAGTTTTTCGATGTGTCTCAAAAAAGGTGTTCATTAACTGCTACTTGCAGAATCAGTAGGAATATGTTGACTAACATGAGATATTGGTATATCCCAGTCTTAGATAACCAAAATGATGGATGACAATATCTTATGTACAATACAATATGTTCATATAATATTTGCACCAACAGTACATTCTGTAATGTTGCAAATTATGACTTAGATGAAAAAGTAAAACTAAAGAGACAATTTTAGGTATTAAACAAAAAAACACAGAATCTCATAAGTTTCATAGCTATTTCGTAGAGTAAACTTCATGATAAAAAGAAATAGAACATCACTATACAATAATACAACAGTAAGAATTCATCGGTCATTGCCAGCTATCACTAATATATGGTCTGGTCTTTCAAAGAATATGATTTGCCATTGTTTTCTCCATGATCAATTATGTCAACATTAGTCAGTCATTGATGTGAACACAAGATACCAATGTCAAAAATGAGACTATTTCATACTGTAAAGAAAATATTCTGTGATATAATACTAATAAGAAATTAATTTGGTAAATTATATCAAGTCAGTCGGGGATTAACCTCAGTTATTCTCTAGTGTAATTGTAAAAATCAAAAAAATAAGTATTGTCCAAATGTAATAATATTGTATGGAAACGAAATTTTGTTTGAATGCTACACCTTGAAAGACTGAATAATTCAAACCAGGATTAATAAATCAGGAAAACGCAGGGAAAACTCGGGGAAAACAAATTCAGAAGATCAGAAGACACCCTGATAAAAATTGAAGACAGAAACATTCTCTATGAAACTAAAAGGAGAACACTTTCCTACGACAAACTGTTCTTGTTTTCTTGACAGACACACTTCATTTTGTGAGAAAAATTGTAATGTTAACTTTGTGCTGATGAGGCTGAATGTTACCTGATTGAGCTGAAACTGCAAATCTCATTTTTACACCAATTGGCAACTTTTTAGAGGTTCTCTTCAAAGAAATTTCAAAAATCTATTTCTTGCAACCATGCTGGTGCTACAGTAATAAGTAAAATAGAAATTGCATTTTCAGCTCTTCTTATTGATTACCTACTAATTGACTTAGAAAAAATCATTCTGTTCTTTATATATTGCCATGTAATACAGGCCAATTAGTTAAAGCAAATTTCAATCGCAAATCTTGGAAAATAATATTGGAATAGAATGGACTGAAATGTATTGTTGCTCTTAATGATTAAATGATCAGAGATTTAAGATAAAAAAGTATGATAATTCAGGACTCTGGTGATTCTAAGATACTGATAAGTGATTAATAAGCATCATGAAATTTTCACTTTTACAATTTTACACTCTAAGACATTGAGGTAACTGTGAGTAATCTTTCCTGTGATGGTAGTGAAGAAAAGTTGTTTGTGAACTTTTTGTTCAGTAATTATTGTAATATCAACAGAAGAAATTACTGATCAAACTAAATTTGAATGTTAAAACTAACTAATATAACTTGAAAAGGCACGAATTTAACGATACATTAATTATAATATTATGTTTTTCTTGAGAAACAAATTGAAAAATAATTATTACTTGTAGTGAAAGTCTGTCATTGGTGCAACTAATGAAAGTGGAAACTTCTTTTGTTCAATGTTTGGAAACCTTTGTATGGCTTTTAGGCTTTAAGATGTATTATAATGTTGTATAATATAATGTAATATATGAATTGCTAATGTTAAGAAAGTTTATTAACCTTTTTCAAATAAAAAAAAGCATTGTATTTTCTTAAAATTTGAATACTTGACAATATGGAGTGAATATGTTGAAAATGTTTACAAATGTAAGGATTGAAAAGCTGGAAAAAAAAACACTATATGTTTCTAGGGTTGATTGACTAAAAACTTTCTATCTAGAAATAGTGTACATTTTGAAATGCTCTGCTTTTCTCTGTGCAAATATTAAGAAGTTCTGTGTTACAGGTGCAAAGCTTTGATGAAGAAGCAGGAAGAGTAATTATTAAAACTGCTTTAGGAGGTGCAAATATATCAGTTAATGAAAATGTTGTGCAAGTTGTGCCAAAAGCGGAGTACAAGAAATCATCTCGTGTGATAAGTATGAATTTGATATTAAAGTGAATAAGTTTAATCAAACTGATATAAATTATTTAAGTCTTAGAAGACAAGACTAGAATGTTTTTGTTACAAGTTTTTGATACAAGAATAAGCAGCAAGACTTATTTTTATAACCCATACTTGATTGTGCTCATGATTTTGTCTTATGTTGTTGTTTTTTTTGTTTGTTTTTTTAGATCAATCCCAATATGATGAATACAAAAGAAGAGAAGAAAGACAGGAATCAAGAAGAAAAGAAGAAAGAAATGAGTTAAGGAGGCAAGAATGGGATAATTCTAGGAGAAGAGATGAAAAGGATGATTCTAGGAGAAGAGATGAAAGGGATGATTCTAGGAGAAGAGATGAAAGGGATGATTCTAGGAGGAGAGAATCGAGGCCTGATACATCTGACAATAAAAGGTACAAGAGAGAGGATCACAAACACCTTAATGGAAAACACTTTTCTGGAGAATAAGTTTTAGAATTTCTTCCTTGTGAATATCTCTGCCTATGAGTGTCAAGTCTGAAGAAAGTGTGGTGAAAGTTGATGCCAAAGGATGTTGGGAATGGAATGCTAAATGTGCTGTTGAAGTCTGGGTAAGGGGGGAAGAGGTGAAATATGATCTCTAATCATTATTCATATTTTATTCCATACTTTGCTTAAATCGCATTAGGAAAGAGATGAAAACCATAACAAGCAATTGTTGGATAATTGATTTCAGCATGGTTGAATATGACCCGACACATTTATTATTTTAAACCTTAAAATACTTCCTGTATTTACCTGAATATAATATGAGACTAAATATCTCATTTGTTAAATACTGATATGAATGGGCTGGTAAAAAGAGAATCTCAAAGGAATGGCATTGCAGTAAGTGAAACACATCACACTCATTGACAAGGCCGCAAGGACTCTTGATTCAACACCCAGTGAGAGGGAAGTGAAAAAAAGAACATAGAAGCACGTATGGTACATCTAACCCCGGAGACAAGAGAGATAAAAAAATATTTTCATAGCAAGAACTTCTCAAATTTGGAAGCTTGATACTCTCTCTTGTGTTACTTGTAAAATGAGAGGAATGGAAATGTATGATTTTGCAGTTCACAACTCGGTCATGTGAACGTTTAAGTATGCAAATTTCAAGAACTTCTGTTAAAGAATATGAAAGAACCATTAAGGAATCAGAGGTCACGAACAAGTGTGTGTCAGGAAGAAAATTTTAAGAAGGGAATATTCTTAAGTGACGTCAGAATAAAGACACAAATTCAATGCACAAAACTTTTGGGGGTGGGGGCAAAAAATTTAGAGGAGAATGAAGTTTGGGAGGAGGATCAAAAAGAAACAATGATATATGTGAAGATGAAGATGGTAATGTGAAAAACCATGATTAAGATGATTTTAAGGAGCAAGAATATAACCGCTCAGGCATTTCTAATTTTTTAACTTTCTAATCAACATTACAATTTTCTAGTCTATCGGACAATTTGTAATTATATTTTGACTAAATAGTAAGAATAAGTTGAAAAAAGTTTTAAAAATTTCAGGAGATCTTCTCAAAATTAGGGGGTTCAAAATCGACATATTTGGGTAAATACACTAAATAAACTAAGATTGAGATTGTAGAACTGTTCTTTCTGATCATTCTTGTCATGTACACTATTTGTACATGACATTTTGTACATCAGGGGTTGTTTACACGAGTGCTCATAGCTACAAAAAAGTAATGTAAAAAAGAAATTTCAGATCTTATCCCTTAACCTCTCCCTGTTCACAAATTGACTCCTGAAGCCATAAGATCAGAAAAAGAAAAAAATGAGGGACAGGAGCCTGCAGTAATGAGGACAATCCATAGTTTACATATGTAGTGTGTCCAATTTCCTGTCCAAAAGGTTTCTTATTACTTTATGCATTTATATGAACTTTAAGTGAAGAGATAGGTTTGAAATGTTTTAAAGAATAAATATTTTTCACAAAGAATATCTGTGAAAATAATTAAGCTGTGATTGATAGGTTTGGTGTGAAGAATTTGGGGAGTGGTTCGATTTGCTAGAGACAAAGGATTCTTCTGAAGATATTGTAGAAGCAATTGCATAGTATAGTATGCCTTCATGAGAACTTCATTGTTGTTCATTACATTCTCTGAATTAGTTTTCCTTTTTTCGTTACCAACTATTGTGCATCTAAGGTTTTTGGCTTAAAATGCATTACAAGTAATTTGTTGGGCAGGCTCAAGATTGCTTTATGTTAACAAGATGAAAGCCGGAGTCATTTCAACAATTTGGAAGCATCCACTGGGTCCTGAAAGTATTATGTTATATAAGATGTGATTTGTTTGCGAGTTCATGTTGTTTTCAATGTTCTCATGCTAGTGGCTCAATTCCTTTGTGTGGGACATGAAGATGGATAAGAGCCAACATTTCTTATGTAGTAAAAATTAATTAAATGTTGAGATTACAAGCATAGTGAGAGGATAGACTTAAAATCAAGAGTGAAGTTAGAAAACTGGTTGCAACCAACTTCAGAGTAACACAAGTTCAATAGCATGTCACCCTTTGCTTTCTTCAAATAAAAGGCTGCAGCTTGAAATGCATGATTTAGGGGCAAATATTGAGTTAATGTTCAGATCAGGGAGTTATTCTACATAATCTAAATCTCGATATGAAAATAATTCAAAAATGAATTGGTAAAAACTGACTTAAAACATTACAGATACATAGTATCTATAATATACACACATCTTACATAGTATAGGAGAGACTGAAGGCCAGTTATCTTGCAGACTTACTTACATCCACTTCCGTCTGTTTAGAGAAGATCCCATCACTAATAGCCCATTAGTGTAGCGATATTTTGCTATTTGTAATATCTATAACAACATATATAATTGCTGGTGTGAAAAGTAAATGTTCATGTTCCCTAACAAGAAATTTGGTACATTTATTGTGCACTTAAAAAAATTCCAAGTGAATTATGAAAGGGATTGTGACGCACGCAATATATTATCATTGTTTTGTTTGTAAATCATAGAAAATTATTACATGTGAAACAAAGATGTTACCAAGTCCCCCAAGTTTCTGATTTCTGTAGCTGGCAGGTGGAGGGCTTTAGCTCAAAGGTATTTCAACTGCACGAGAAGGCCGACTTATGCTTTCAGAAATGACTTTCGGTTTGAAGAGAAACAACAGTATTGCCAAAACTAGCTAACCTAAAAAAGAAATTTGAAACCACATAAGTAACACATTATACACCAATTACATACAGGTATAATTCATTAGGGGCCGTCCGTAAATTACTTAACACTAAAGAGGGGGGAGGTGGTTTGAGACTGCATTACCTAGGGGAAAGGGGGGTCATAGTTTAATATTACGTAATGTTAATACTATTTTCAACAATGCTGAAATAATTCCTTTTATTCAGTTTTATAATAAAACATTAAAATATTAATAAATTATATTAAAAATACAAGAAAATTAAAAAATGTTAATGTGAAAATTGTTACAATAAATTGAAATATTTTTTCACCAATGGTATATTGCTTGAATCTGTTAGATTACAGAGAAAATATTCAAAACTGATATGTATTCTAGAATCCAATTAAATAGGTGCAGTAAAATTGGGGCCGATGCATCATCCATGACTGCATTTGCACAGCTTATCAGAAATTTTCACACCCATCGTCCTTCCTTTATTCAAAATTTGTCCCGATATACCTGAAATTGTCTTACTGTTAGGTGCAGTCAACATTGCCAACTAAATTGAACTTTAATTATCATACATTTTTATATATTACTAAAATGAATACAACTCGTTCTTACTGCTTTATAATTTATTTTTACTTATTCAAAATGGGGAGGGGGGTCTTGCAGAAACCATTATTACATAATTATTATGGGGGGTATTCAAAATATTCCAAATTGCTGTTATATAATTTATAGACAGCTCCATATGCTACATGTATTTTTCAAACTATTGCATTATTATATTTTATCAAATTATTTCATATTAATGATGGTGTCAAATTGTTGCATTATGACATTACCGTGCTATAGCAATAATTTATTTTGTGTATTCCATATTTACAAACTGATTTTTTATGGTTTTATATAAGTACAATTTTTGTGTGCCAAAAACAAGTATTTTTATTGAAATTGAATATTTTTGAACTAATGACTTAAGTTTTGGTTGGCGACTTAGGAGCACTAAGTTGTCATGATGAATTGCGAATGCTCTGAGCTGTCTGGGTGATTCCACATGTTGGGTGTTTCACCCATACTCTACAGTTTTGGCAATTTTCAACCTTATGCCACATTCTTTCTCAGTTGGCAAAATTTCCAACATCTATGCATCAGCCAGAGATCTGAAAACATTCATTTGCAGCTATGAACATTGATTGAAATTGTTCTATCTCGGTTTTTGCATATATGTAATGGCTTGTGTCCAAACTTCGTTAATTTGCTAATTAGTCTGTTAATGTTCAGATTATTCAAAATAAATCGATAAAGGACAAAGTAGATGCATCTTTAAAGGCTACTTTAGAATTTAAGCAGATGATGTGAACAGCAACCAACATGAGATAGCTTGGGTACGTAAAATACGTTATGGTATTGAGATGTAGGAGATATTATATTATAAACAGGTATCAGATTACTGATGGGAAGTTTCCATGTGTAGTGAGAGGCTAAGTGTGAAGTTTTGAGTTCCACTGTGTCAATTGTAAGTTTTGTTTTACTCAATGCCACCTAACCTAACCTCATTATGTACCTTAATTGGGGTGATAAGACTACTATTTACATGAGGCTATGCAATACATATTTCCAAATGTGTTTTTATGGTAAAACACTTCTCGTGAACACAAGATGCTTTACGTTTGAACAATCACCTTATTTTAGCCAGTGGCCTGTGGCTAATTTGTGAAGTCTCAAAAGATCTGTTCCTAGTAATCCATAGTTTCACCCCCTACCACCTGGTTAATGCGTCAAGTGGCCATATTTTGGGTCTTTAGCTGTAACGTGTACAGGGACAGTCCTACATTACCTCCTGTTCTAAGTAAGGGAAACAGTCGTACGTAGGGACACTTAATATTTTAATTTTTTCCCCTTCTTTTGTATATGATATTGATGATGATCCACTTTTTGGGATGCTACACATCTCAGCATATGTATGTGTAAGAATAATAATTTTTAAAAACATTCAGTAATGTTCGTTCTGAGATACTATTTGTGTCCAATATGTCCCTAGGTACAGTGTACTGATGTACAATTATTGGTAAAACTATCTGCAATCATGATTGAATATGGCTACTATTAATTGTAAGCAAGAAGTATACACCTTGAATTAACTACATTACATGCTAGTATATGTAGGTCGTCTTCAATTTTGTAATAAGTTGGTACAAAGTCAATGAAAGAGAAATGCAGAAATTTTTAATTTTCACTCGTCAAACATTTTAAACTCGGAAAATCATAGAAACAGTTCACACTACCAGATCGTTCACTTGAATAAACACAAATGGCAATAGGCAGTGTAAGGAAAACAATCTGAAATTTCTCTCAGGCTCCTTGAAAACATGCGACACGACAGATACGACACTTTCCAGTACACTTGTTCATTCATAGGTGCTATGACTTAGCTTGGTTTCCCCTTATCTCTGCAATCATGATTGAATATGGCTACCATTAATTGTAAGTGAGAAGCTTTGTAACATATTTTATTTATTCATTACCCAAAGTATTATTGTACAAATTTGTTAATAAACATGAAATTTCTGAAGATTCAAATTTATATTTTGTAATAAATTCATGAAATTACAAAAATTAAAGTAATTTATTACAAGCTTTATTTATACCTTCAATATTCCATAGATAGTTTTGAGTTCCCTACGATCCTAGCTGAAAAACACTTTCTGTGTACTGAATTTGGGGAAATTTGTGAAATACGAAATGTAAAGTTCAGAAGCCTGATTATACAGTATTCTAAAACCTAATCACATTTTTCTGAAAAGAAAAAAGAAACCAAAGAACAAAGTATCATCAGAAATTATTATAGATTCTTAACATACTTCCAATTGTTGATATACTGATTGGTATTTAGTTTTATTATAAAAAGGTAGTCTTGGTCAGTCATATTCAAACCCCAAGCCCAACATTGTGTTTGTGAACCTGGTAAACCAATTGTTATGTAATATCAAAATTATGTATTGAACATATAACTCATGGGATGAATGCACAATGAATTCTATTCTTGCTTTCCATATTTATCAGTTAGACACACCATAAAACAGGGTGAATAGATTAAATTGGTGAAAATAACTTCAATGGGCGCGTCAACAGTAGAAAATATTTATAGAAGAGCGATGGAAGTTGCAAGACAGTGCGCCAATTGGAATTCTTGATCTTAGATACAATGATGAACATTGATACAATGATGGCCCTCGGTGCATCAATAATACTGGTGCCATATGGGCAGGGAATCTCATCTTTAACTCTTAACTGATATAATAATCCTTACTTTCTCGCCATACTGTAGTAAAGAAAGTAATTGAATAGTGCCGTGGAAATGGGCAATTTTTTGACAGAAAATGTACTGTTGTCGGGCCCTGGTAACACAAAAATGGATAAATCTTGTAGTAAATTACTGAAAACACATTGTGTAGACAGAATCCATGTCATGTGGTTCCTTGGTGCCGTGGGGTTGGTTGGTTATTAGTGATTCCGGGCGCGTCAACTACCGAGGTCATTAGTCCCGTAAGTAGTGCATTTTTCATCGCGAGGTGGCGGTGATCTTCCCCGCTGCATGGCGAGATCCGGCGCTGATCTACCGTCCGGGTAGCGAGGTTTCCCTCAACGCGATCGACCTGGGCCCTGCGAGTGTGAAACTAATATTTCATTTTTGCGGGTACTTTACATGCAGCTTCAACATTTTTTTAATTTTCTCAAAAATGGCTCCCTTTATTTTCATTTCACTGTCTTTGGACAGTATAAAGAACTAAAAGAATGGCGCAGGTTTCATTTTCGTTGAAATCGCTGATTTTTCGAAAACTGCAAAAGTTCAGCTGTTTTTCAGTGTCTTTTTACAACTACAATATCGAAGATATTTTTTCCCCTTAATGAAATCTGTTGTTAAAAACATCCTGAAATAAGGCCACGTACAACTTTTCAAACATTTCATTAGTAACGAGTAATTTGTACTTGAAGTTAATGCAATTTATAACCTTCGAAAATCAAAATATCCGTTTCAAACTCGCACGCAACACTAACCAGCGCTAGAAATCTGACA